TTCAAAATCATCTACATGTTCTCAGAAATTCAAATATGACTTTAGATTTGAGTTTAGATTTGACATTTGACCTTCAGTGACCTTCTCAAGGTCAGAAAAGGTCAAAAAGGTCTTTTTTCAACTTGCTTCAAATTGACTAATTTTTTTTTTCAAAATCATCTACATGTTCTCAGAAATTCAAATCTGACTTTAGATTTGACATTTGACCTTTAATGACCTTCTCAAGGTCAAAAAAGGTCAAAAAGGTCTGTTTTCAACTTGCTTCAAATTGACCAAATTTTTTTTTCAAAATCATCTACATCTTTTCAGAAGTTCAAATTTGACTTTACAAGTTCTCAGAAATTCAAATCTGACTTAAGTTTGAACTCATAATATTGTGAGCAACTAGGTGGTGACATTTTGTCATGTTAATGCCTTGTATTGTATTTGCTTTGTTATATTGTAATGAATTATGTTATATTGTATTGTTTAATGTTGCAGTGCAAATGCATTGTTAAATTCTGTAGTCCCCGTAACTACTATCATTTTTGTGTGTATCGTGTCGTATTGTATTGTACTGCATCTCTTCAACCTCAAAATGTTTTTATTTTAGATATATGATTGCTGCATTTCATTTCAATGTATTTAATTATAGAATTCGAAAAAGAGAAATGTATTGTAACTGTATTGAATTATGTTATATTGTATTGCTTTGTAATATTGTATTGCCTTATGTTATATTGTATTGCCTTATGTTATATTGTATTGCTATGTTATATTGTATTGCTTTATGTTATATTGTATTTGCTTTGTTATATTGTATTGAGTTACATGTATGTTATATCGTATTGCTTTATGTTGCATTGCAATTGCATTGTTAAATTCTGAAGCTTTTCCTTAGACAGTCGAGCCCGAACTTCACTTTGAAAACCATATCTAGTTATTCTATCAGAAAAGAAGACTCGTGTCGTAAGGTTATCATTATTTTCCGTCCAATCTACCAGGATCCTAATTGTCTCATCCTTATCAATGAAAACGTACTAGGTTTGATTAATCCGTCGTCTCAAACAAGATTTTTATTGTATTTTCATTGATAATACTTGAGTGATTGACTTATAAAATGTAATAGATTGGATCTTAAGTGTAGTAAACTAAGTGAAATGATATACCAGTAGTTTAATGGTATTCATCATAGCTTCTTATTTTTGCCAATTTTATTTCATACATCAACTTTTATAGAATATAAATTGGTCAGTTTCTGGTGTTATAGAATGCAGCGATTTGCATAGAAACTGGTGCCACTCAGTTGATGCTTTGAAAACCGTCTTACACCAAATGGAAATCAATTTGCAATCATTTTGGAATTTGGAAAATTCAAAGAGTGTGGATGAATCTCTCTTTTAAGGAGTTGAGCATCTCGACTCTCGAGGTTTCAGTTGCTCCAGTGTTAAAACTACCTTGGATTTCGAAGATGGACATGAGATCAAACTTTGAAAGGGGCACGTGTCACAGAAGGTATGTACAGGCCCGTAGCCAGGCGGGGAGGGGTTCGAGGAGTTCCCCTTGCCAAAAATTCTTTCAAAATCATGCAGGTTAGTTTTTCACGATTCGGAGCTGCATTTTTCATTTGATTTTGGGCCAATTTGTCGAAGTGAACTCCCCTCGAATTTTCTGAAAAGTTAACCCCCTTTGGGAAAAGCTCAGGCCACATATTGATATTGTTATACAATTTTGTATTTTAGATGACATTGACCAGATAAGCTGACATTGACTTTGAACAACTGACCAAACAAATATCTCATTTGTCTTCGTATGTCGTAGCATCCTTCAAGTTCGGGCGTCGCTGCTAGAGCAGCAGAATTGAAATATTCTTGGATCAATTATACCCCTCATTGATTTTTAGTGACCAAATTGCAACACTTGGTTTATACACGTATATAACACCACGGTCACCAACGCCTATTGAGATAAGATTTATACCGTAAAATCTGTCTTAGTGAACACTTTTCTCAGCGGTGAACACCTGACTCCAATAGACACCCTTTCCGACCACATACTCAACTGACTTCTGCATAAATCACCCTCTGTAATGAACACCTACATACAGTGAAGACATTTTGTGGCCTAATAGATGTTCGATGTTCATAGGTTGCACTGTATTGACATATCAAGACCATCTGACTTGAAATCATAGGCTTTTTAAAATGTTCATTAAAAGCATTTTTGAAAATGCTATATGATTAAAGTGAACAAAATAATTGGTGATTATACACTCATGTGGCTTGCTCTTTTAAATTGTGAATGGCATGGAATGCGTAGTTTTGCATTAACATACGTGGTTTTTGGATATTTCTTTTTATAGATCATATTGGGATACTGGGGATTTGTTTCCTGTCTTGATTTGTTGTAATAATAATTTTATTTTCCATTAGTGTTCTAATACTTTCTCCTTTAGATTTGTGATGGTAATGTGTTAAGAGGTGGGAGAGTCACACGTGCTCGGTGTAAGACTACTGAACATGTAGCAAAGGTATGTACGTACTAGGTATGGACTGGTTTGCATAAAATGGTCTGGGACTGGATCTAGGATGAAGAAAAGAGGCCTGGGTCAACAGTTATATGAATAGTAAGTGGCAACATAATCATAGTTATTTTTTGTAGAAGGAGACAAACAGTTCTTACATTGATTCATATTTTATTTTATTTCATTCTCTGAGATATTACACAATTATGGAAATAAATCTCTGCGTTATTCAATTCGTAGGCATCTTGTGTGTCCATGTGATTTAGACACCCGTCGAGAATCTTTCATAAAAATACAATTTGATTCAACATTAAAAATCAAAATCATACATGGCCTTCAGATCAAAACATTTTACTTTAAAGTCTCTTTACAAAGGTATACATTTCCAAATCAGTTTATAACATGCCGAGTGAATGAATCCAGTTCATTACGGTGTGAAAAATACTTTTGGTTCATTTCAAAAGTCTCATCATCGGTCTCGTTGTGACTGGTAGAAATTCATTAAATACAAATAAAAAACAGTTTTCACTTTAGCTAGATAAAAGATGTTATTTTTTTGAATGGTCCATCTTGAAAGTGACACTGTTCATAAGAGATTTTGATCCTTTACGATTTTTGTAATAAATTATTAAGTTTATCAGCTTTTGGTTTCACACTGTCACTTCATCTGTCACAATAACCTAGCTTAATTGATGCTATTTATTTAGGCATACATGTTTTTTATGCTTCAAATTTCGAAGGAGCGAACTTGTGCCTGTTACCGCTCCAATTTTTAATTGTCACTCTTTTTACCCTACGCGAAATCTTTTATAGCGATGTTCAATAAATCACCATGCCCCTTCATTCATCATCTCTCAATGTCAACTAAGTTTTTATACATGAACTAGCATTGCTTTCAAATTTTAGCTGATTTTATGAAGCATATTAAGCGAAAATCGTTTTTATTAAATCCCTGTATAAAGTCTTTTCAATCACACACCTGATAAGACCTTTATTGTCTTAATCTGTTTAAGTGTTAACACAAGCACATGGGGAGGGGAGAGTAGGAGGGGTAGCTACGCCTATTAGTATACTAAATAATGCTGGACATTTTTTATATCGCAAATAACCGTCTGCTCTTAAGGAAGATCTCGTAAATCACCCAGTAGGGTCGCATTCTAGACAATAGTTCCGATGGTTTACCTGGCTGCCACATCGTTGAAAATTAAATAAATGGGAATTTTTCGACCCCTTGGGGACATGCGATTTTTCGCTAATTACTGGTGCCATAATGACACTTATAGAAATTGAGACTATTAGATTTCCCAAATTGCTATACATAAATAGGATGCAGTTTAAATTAATCATAAAAAGTATCTTAATTGCTTTCTTAAGTACCATCTTGAAGGAAAAATGAATAAAAACATGCTATATACCGATGATAAATCTCACTATTAACAGTATCGAGTTTTTTGGTACTTCATCAGGTAATATTTGCTCTTTTAAAAACATCACTCGAATAAGGTATTGAGTAAAAATTAAAAAAGTGTATAGATACAAGCAATTGATTCAACAACTTATAAACCATAAATTGAATGAATTAACAATTAAAGTGCGTCGTGAATTCACCAGGTGGGGTTCAAGAGTTCTGGCATATTATTGATAAAACAATTGATTTCATAATATGCGGTAAAACGTTAATAAAAAGAACCGAAAAATACACAAATGATACAGTAAAGTTAACAATTTATAGGTGCTAGTTTTGAAAAAGAACCATGTGTTAGGATAAAGCAAATTAGTTTAATCTTAAAAAACGTCTTAATCAAACAGAGCTTTTGAATGCCATAAACCGCGCCATCGTTTAACCTAAACGGTTATTATTTATAATACATTTAAAATTAATAACTGTAAATATATTCATTGCTTGATTGAGTTGAGGAGCAATCGGATAGGTGGTTAAGAAACTGAACAATTGGAGGTACATCTTTCAGCAGTTCTGACATACAATAAACTATTTTTGAATATAATTACATCTGGCGTAGTCACCAAATCTCTCAAATATTCAAAAGTTATAAAATCTATACAATTTTAAGCAAAACATTCAGCTGGTGTTTTTATGGACGTAACGTTAGGGATCATGTGGAGTGAAATTGATCTGTGTCTAGATTATTGTCATGTACCTGATGTGATTATCACAAGGGTTGTATTTATCTCAGTTGCTTTGTGGTCACGAAAATGAACCAAAAAGTGCGGCCAACTAACATTGTTATCCATAATTGTTTTCTTATAGTAGTCCGAAGAAAATTAAAAAAAACTCCTCGAATGGTAATTAAGCTAAGTGAAATTGACAGAATTTATAGCATCAAGGAGGACATTTCAACAATTGTCCAGCTAGAAAATGTGTTAGTTACATGTATAATTGAAGGCAATACGTGATGTTGGACTGTTCATAAGGGAATACATGTCTACTTTGGCCAAACAAAATGGTCCATTGTTTGTGGACGAGATTGTTTAACAGGCTGTATATTAAGAGGTTGGTATTGGTCAATGTTGTAGTTTTTTCTATCAAGGTGAATCATGTATAACATCATATAACAATTGATAGAAGTAAACTAATCTCACCAGGCGTTATCTAAGTAGGGGGATAGTTAAGGTACTGCGACTTGTAGGACCATCCGTTGCGATCTCAGGATATGCTAAGATTTAAGTCTACATTAGATCAAACGCGAAGTCTGAGAGATTTTGACAACCGTGAACGTGGTTTGACTTGAGTGGATGATATAAACTGTGGATTCACATTTGGCAAAATCAATGACAGACATGACATGTTATCGTTAAATATGGGTTTGGTTTCAATAATGATTTGATTTGGTGCCATCGAGCAGCGGGTGTGTAAAGTGCATGCTTGGTTTTGGGATGGGGTAACTAGGTACAGGTATATGGGGCAATACTAACTATTGAACATTATCGTGTCTGTTTTACGTCAGTTTATTTACAAGCAAAACCAGTTGCTTGTAACAACACTACATCTAATATATGATAAAAAATGTTCATGGTATAACTTGAAAACTCAGATGTTTAATAATTCAACATGACAATACTGACTGGCAACTACAAAATACTCTGATAAAGATACATGTTTTTACATTCTGATAGACAGTACGTATGCCTAAGTCAGGGTAATATTTCAACCAAAACAAATGAATGACATATATAAACTAAATGGTAGCAAAATACTTTAACAGAACGAACTACGTCATCACTCAATTGTTCTTGCGTCTCGTTATGTGCAACAGAATCACCTGGTATCAAAATAGTTGTACCACCATTAAATGCTTTTCTTGACGTAATCCCATATGAAAACATTTTTGATACCACGTGTTATCAAGTTTTGACTATGCTCAAGACTAAATCTATTTTATATGCTATTTACAGATATGCCACTAGTATCAACTGATTTCAGATCACGTTTGAGTTCATTGACTTCTGCCGTAACATGTAGCGTTGCTGTATTGTTAGAGTCTGCCCTGGAGTTGTCTCCTTCTGTCTTAGGGCTTGGTTGTGAATTGGGACTAAATTGTTCGTGTTTCTTTGGTTTTGAAATGCTTAGATCAAGCTCTATTTCTTGTTCACCGTCATCACACTTTGGCGTTCCAACTCGTTCCACTAAAAACCCGAACGGTTGGGTAATTGGATAAAGTGGCATCATGCCTAGAGAAAGAGGGTTCATTGATTTGCTTGCCTGGACCCTGGGGTATTTTGAGTTTGGCCGGCGCCCCCGAGGTACCTTAGGTGCTTCTAGAAGAGCGTCGATGCTGAACGGAGATCGTACCACTGGTTTGTGAAGAGCATCTTCCTCTTCATGGTGGTCAGCTTGACCACCTTCACTGTTATCACTGGAGAAACAAGAGTCACTATTATTTTCATTATTGTCTGTACTCTCTTCACCAACGACATCGATTTCATCTTCAATACCGTCATTTCCTTTGCCATCTTGCTTAAGCCTCAGGCGTTCCTCTTGCTTTCGACGCTTGCGTTCAAGACGCTCTTGTTCCTTACGTTTCACCTCATCTGGGTCTATGGGTTCTCCACTACATGTTTGTGGGTGGGCGTTATGAGCTGGACGGCCTGGACCTTTCTTGGTGTTCTCCTTCTTGCGCCATTTAGCACGTCTGTTTTGGAACCAAACCTGCAAATATAATAGGAAATACATTTAATTTTGGTTCTTAATATTTGATGCATTAATCAACCTTCAGACAGAGAAACAAGGCCAAAAATCAAATGCTTCTCTTTCTCTGAAATCTTCTATAAAATGTACGCATAAAGGGAGACAAGAAATCATTAATCCCGAAGTAGACAACTGTAAACTTTATGATAAAAGATCTGATTTAAATAAAAGTTTTAGTAAGATTAATAACCTAAAAAAGAAATTCTTAAACGGCCAATGTCTGATAAATTGTATCTCATTTCGGATGCATCTGGGACTCTTACACCCTCTAATGATCTAACTTAGAAATATAGCCTTCAAACTAGTCAGCAAAAACAATAAAATTCCTTGACAGATTTCCGTTTCACTAACTCTTACTTGTCATATTGATATCATTTTCTATGGATATTAGTTATAATTAAGTCTCGTGTGAGGCTTGATTAGTCTAAATGGCAAATATACAATTATTTCTTATGGCAAAATATTCATTATTGAATTTAACGTGTCAGGTCGGTTTTGCATTGCGTCTTTACTGCCTTTGAAAAGTCAAGAAAATCAAGCCCTTAGGACAGTTGCAATAATTAAGAGAGTGCTTTCTGATTAACCCAAATTGAAACGTATAGCTAAGAAGTGATTGTTAAATAGTTACAAATAACTGTTGTTCAATTTAAAACAGTAATTCGATTGCATTGGCATGCGAACCGAATGTTAATAGTCGGGGAAATTACGATTTACACAGTACCCATTACATTACATTACCCCTCATTGTGATAGTTACGGTTTAGTCATTCAGCCAATTGCGGCTTTTACTTTAGAATTCTCAACGCTAATTCTGTAAGTATGATACCCATGAAGAATGGAAAGTCTCAGAGCAAGAATCAAACGTCAAAAGACTAATACAAAGCAGTCGTCCCTGGGGTAACGGCCCTGTCAGCATTGACACTTACTCTCAAATTTAATCCACATTCGTTAGAAGCTTTGAAAATCAATTCAATTTCCCTGAAGAAAAATAGACCGTCATGCCACTGTGAATTTTGGACACAAATATAACTAACCTAAGTGAATATAAATGATGCCGATTGATAATAAAATCCATATTTGGCATCAACACATCTAGAAAAGATGATATAGATGGGATCCTCATTGATTTCGTCTTTGATAAAAATGTTTGTAGTTTTAACAAGAATAAAAAAACAATAAGCGATAAAAAGGAGAAAAATGGCCAGGTTTTTATATTTTGCCGTAGCATGTAAAAAGACAGTAAATGTATTTACCGTAATTGACTTTTATCTATTACAAGTGGAGTATCTTCCGATATAGAACTCTCGTAAATTAGCTACTTAATGCGATGTGTAATTTGGACAGAAGGGGCGATGGGTAATACAGCTCTAAAAACAATTCCTCTCTCATCTTGCTGAACTAAGCTAGGCTTAGACACGCCTTGAATTATGGAGATTTTCCAATATAACAAAATCTGTTTCAAATTGAATATATTCTTGAGGGATATTCTTTAATTGATCAGCCGATGTTTGTCAATTTAAACAAAAAGAATCGGTACTAAAAGAGCAAAAGACAAATGTGCAAATAAACAGAATGGCCTTTTCGTTGTTATTTCATTATATTAGCTTATGTAATAATATGCCAATTCGTGAAAAATAAATTCTTAATTTCATCCTGTTAAATAGATCCCATTTCAGATATAAAATGCAAAATAAACGGCAGTAGCTTGTGAGTATATGGATTAAACTCCGTAAATGCGTCTGGTGAAGAGCACAGCAAATATTGTCAGAAGCTATAGCTGTTAATGACATAACAATACAAGAAAGTCGCGTGTACTTGTGTTTGTTCTCTCTTAAATACTCCTAATTACTTTCATTACCAGGGTATCTAATAGACCAGTTACGTAGTATAGTTATTAAATAAAATCAGAAGTGAATACCTGATTGAGCAAACCTCCCCTGAGGCGCAGGTTAAAGGTATAGCGGGACTATATAAACACTTTTACTTGTGAAACTAATGGTTTTTAAGTTGCTAAACGTGTACATTGGAAAATATATTGATGAATTAATACATAATAGTAGTTAATAATAGGTTAATCACTGATAAAGAGAGCAGCAATGAAGTATCAGTTACGCCGTAGATCAATACGAACTACCAAACAGAAAATCATTCGTCACCAAAAAATCAAAATCATAAACATTTAACTCTCTTGATGAACTAAACAGCTGGGGCGTGTTGTCTTTTATTTCATTCTGAATGACTCGTTGACTCTTGAGGTAACGTTAAGGTGACACTGGTCACATGAGGAATGAGATGCCCATCAAAAGCAAACAAATCTCGATCAATCTTCTCAGGATATCAGACTATTTTGAAATAGAGTGAATAAAAAACATATTTCATTATAATGCGTTGCCATACACTTTGGGTTATTTCGTGCTTATTTTCCCGGTTTCAACGGAACAAACATAAATTGATGATCAGATGACGAGCTGGTACCGGTTATTGATATCAAATGGGAACTGTTAAATCGCTATATGTCGTCCAGATTTAATTAGGCACCAATTCTTAATCACATTATACCCTTAGAATATAACTTTATGGATAAACCTATCGATGAAGAGATCATTTTTCTTGCTCATCCCCGATTTTTAATTAACTTTGAGTATCATAATCTCCAGAAAATTACCATGTATAAACAAAGTGTTTTAGAACTATCGCATCATCCCTTGTAATATCAAGCCTGTTTAATCTATAAATAAGAAACCATTATCACTTGTACCACTATCATGTCCAATTATACAATTAATAAAGTGTTTAATGATTATTGATGAGTAAATATGTACTTTCAGTGAGAATGATCGCTTTGTAGAAGATGAGGCAATGCTGAATAGACTAAACGATGAGACTACGAGACATTGCAACAAAAGCCCACGCAGCAGACACCAATCTTCCAGTGAAGTAATAGTACTATAGTTAAACAACAGAACAACAAATGCAGAAAATGATATCAAAAAAATCTTAACTTGATAATCTGCGAAGCCAAACAATTAAAGACATTTTTATCTGAAACTTGATGCCACAATGCTCAATATATCTACCCCTCCCCTAAACATTTATTTTATCACATTAGCTGACAATATGTTCTAAATTAACTGATCCTACTTGACTTTTATATAGGGGGATTTAGAGGAACAAAACCGAATATAAATATCAATTAACCAGCCAGTGGTAATACAATGAAATTCCCGTCAAGTATAATCAAATTTAGCACGAGAGCCAAAAGAAGTGTGAATAGGCATAGAAATTTGTTATTTCTTCAAATTAAAGGGTGAATAAACATTGTATTGTGGCCAACTTCTGGTCTGACAAAACTGAGAAAGAATAGCTTCTAGTTGAGTTCTTTGAGACACTCACGAATAGCTGCCTTGTGTTAATATTAATAAAGGGAATAGCGCTACTTTTAACTCGTTCATTTCTTGTATTTGTATTTACGAATGATGTTTGTTGTTTCCGTGTGGTGGATGTAAAGCAATATTTCAACAAGCCAGAATTGTGTATCGAGGGGGCTACACAATATCAAAGGTTAGACTAATGAATTTTGTCTTTGCTTGTCGATACAAGTCTAAAATAAACAGCAATTGGTAAAATTGAGAAACCAAATAACTCCCTGGTTATAAATTGTATTCACATTTGATGACAAAGTATATAATTACAGTAACATTTAGCACCTTTCTTCGAGTGCGTCAAATTCAGTTAAATATGAATTTCTACTAGTGGTATAACTATTGCGTTTGATCGCCATTTACAAACTTTTTTAAGTCCCGTGTCATTCTCTTCAATACAGCCCTTCTCATTACATAGTCCTTCAAAATACAATACAACACAACAGTGACACAAAGACTTTGAAGTTTTGTATACTTTTAAGGTTTGTCTTTTCTTCAATTGATCAGGCAAGGGTGTTCATTTTCACCAGTCGTTTGTATAAGATAAAGAACTAACCATAGAACGGTGGGAAAATGTTAACAGGGTAAACACCACGCAATTAATTGTGGCTCTAAGATAATAGCACATTCATCAATATCGCGCATTGATTTACATGAGACGTTTAAAAAATCCAAAACAAACAGTTCTTCATATAAAGTTCGAGTGATGCATCTAAAGAGTATAACACAGACTATTAATTATAATATGTGTTGTTGTTTTGCATTAAATGTTACTAGCCTCATAGTTTTCGTGTTTTATTTTCGACAATCGGTCTTAAATAATAAGGAATAATTGAAATTTATATATAGTAATTGTTAAATAATAGCATTGTAAGATGACAATGCTCACGGAACGTGATATGTCATATTGTACATATTGTACAAACAGAAAGATATGACTAATCGATCTTAAGATACAACCCATCCTAAGATTACTCATTAGGCATTAATTACTGTTGGCTTATTGGTTTTTTAACTACTTTAATTTCATATAGATATTGACCAGTTTTGAGACGCGCTATCCGGCTTAATAAGTGAACAATTAAGAATATAATGCAACACCTTTGTCTGTCCTTGGTGATAGGAAAATCGTTGATGGTTTTGTATTGTGTATTGTTCTTTTATAGATAAAGAAGGTGACATCCACCGTCTTAATTAACATGTATCTTTGTATGATATCATATGAACTCATAATTACACTGTATTGTCTTGGATCATTTTCAAAATCAATGTGAGACGCAGTATTCCGATAGTTGTAACAATCGGCTTTCGATAAGTAAATTCATTAATGATTTTCGACAATTAATTTTCCAATGAAATAAACGTTAATTGATGTGATATAATTGATTGTAAGAGTTGACATACATATAGTTAGATATAACAAGCCATATCTAACGTTACTGTATATAAATAATTCAAACATCATGCGTCGATCATATGATACATTCACGTCCGTTGAAAGTATTTTTCCAGGATCAAAACTAAATAATTAATTTTCTT